ATTTCTGGCTGATGCCCCCCATCCCGTGGCCGGTACATCTAATCCCTGTGCTGGATGGATGGGCACAGCTGCTGGGGCATAGTGGTGCCCCCTGGACCTTCCGGGTTGTGTGTGTGTGCGCACATGTATGTGCAAACATGTGTGCACACGTGTGTGTGGTGGGGTCGGGGGGCAGCACTGGGGACAGGAGGATCCCTGGGGCAGTGCAGGCAGCACCAGGGGGTCTGGCATAGTGACAGTCCATGGTGCCTGTGCCAACCCTCAGCTGCGTCACCGTGTGCCACTGGGGCTGCCGGACCTGCTCCGGCAGCAGCTGCGCCAGGATCTTGCTGGAGCGGGGCTCGTCATGATTGGGGAACCCCAGCAGAGCTGCGGGGCGGCTGATGCTGCTTTGGGGTGTCACTGAGGGGGGATGCAGGAAGCACCAAGGCAGCATTGGGTGTGTGCAGGGGGTGCAAGCATTTGCTATGGGGCTGGAAGGGGCTGTGAGGCAGCTCTGCCAGTGGGGTGGCTTTGTCCTGGCTGTGTGTGCCAGATGTCCCCCTCCGCCGCACCCGCAGCGCCAGCCACAGGGAACCACAGGATCCTTTCAGTTGGAAAAGACCTTTAAGCTAATTGAGTCTGACCATTAACCCAGCAGTGCCAAGGCCACCACTAAACCATGTCCCTCAACACCACGTCTACACGTCTTTTAAATCCCTGCAGGGATGGTGACTCTAGCACTGCCCTGGGCAGCCTGTTCCAGCGCTTCACAACACTTCTGGTGAAGAAATTGTTCCTAATATCCAGTCTAAACCTCCCCTAGTGCAACTTGAGGCCATTTCCTCTTGTCCTATCGCTTGTTATTTGGGGGAAGAGATCAACCTCTACCTTGCTACAACCTCCTGTCACATAGTTGTAGGTAGTAGTGAGGTCTCCCCTGAGCATCCCTGTTCTGCCAGTACTCACCAGTACAGCCCCAGCCCAAGGGTGTTCTGCCCACAGATGTTGGGTGCAGCCTCTGCTAGGGGACAGGGGTTTGGGGAGCTCAGCACCATGACAACGGGGAATGGCTTTAAACTGACAGGAGTCTTAGATGAGATCTGAGGAAGAAGTTCTTCCCTGTGAGGGTGGTGAGGTCCTGGCACAGGTTGCCCAGAGAAGCTGTGGCTGCCCCATCCCTGGCAGTGTTCAAGGCCAGGTTGGACGGGGCTTGGAGCAACGTGGTCTAGTGGAAGGTGTCCGTGCCCGTGGCAGGGGGTTGGAACTGGATGAGCTTTAATGTTGCTCCAACCCAAACTAGTCTGCGATTCAATGAGCTGAGCCCTTACCCACCCCCAGGTGCTGTCACTGGGTGCCGACGTGCTCCCGGAGTACAAGCTGCAGGCGCCGCGCATCCACAAATGGACCATCCTGCACTACAGCCCCTTCAAGGCGGTGTGGGACTGGCTGATCCTGCTGTTGGTCATCTACACGGCCATCTTCACCCCCTACTCAGCCGCCTTCCTGCTCAACGACCAGGAGGAGGCCCAGCGCCACCACTGTGGCTACTCCTGCAGCCCCCTCAACGTGGTCGACCTCATCGTGGACATCATGTTCATCATTGACATCCTTATCAATTTCCGCACCACCTATGTCAACTCCAACGAGGAGGTGGTCAGCCACCCAGCCAAGATCGCCATACACTACTTCAAGGGCTGGTTCCTCATCGACATGGTTGCTGCCATCCCCTTCGACCTGCTCATCTTTGGCTCTGGCTCTGAGGAGGTACCTGCCGCTGTGCCAGGGTGCTGCCATGCCCTGGCTGGGCCAGGTGCTGTTTCAGTGCCAGTCCTCCTGGGGGGTGGTGCTTTGGGGTCCCATGTGTGCCCTCAGGCTGGGGTTGGGTGCCCATGGTGCCACAGCGGGTGCTGGAGTGGTGGGTGCTGTTCTGCGTGTGCCAGGTCTTCTCAGGGGGTCCTATATGCACCCCCAAACTAGGGCCAGATGCTAGTAGTGCCATGGTGGGTACCAGGATGGTGGGTGCTGGAGCAGTGGGTGCTGTTGCCTGGGTGCCAGGTCCTTCTGCAAGGACATGCCCATTGGTCCCACACATGTCCCCAAGCCAGGGCCAGGCATCCTTGGTGCCAAGGTGGTGCTTGCTCTCCCCTGGGTGCTGGCTTCTCCTGTGGGGTCATGCTTAAGGGATCCCACATGCATCCCCAAGCCCAGGCCAGGTGCTCATGGTGCCATGGTGGGTGCCAAGGTGGTGGGTGCCAGGGCTGTTCCCTGGGTGCCAGCTCCTCCTGCAGGGTGATGCCCAGGGATTCCACCACATGCCCCCAGTCCAGGGCCAGGTGCTGTGGTGCTGCGGTGGGTACCAGGGTGGTGAGTGCCAGGTCTGTTCCCTGTGTGCTGGGTCCTTTCACAGGGCCGTGTTTAGGGGGTCCCACTCATGCTCCCAAACCAGGGCCAGGCATCCTTGATAATGCAGTGGGTGCTGGGTGGGGGGTGCCGAGACAGTGGTTGAGGGTCTCCATGGCAACATCCCTCAGTG